CCTGCTTCCTGACCTTGTTTAAATGTAATTCTACTTCAGGTGATTCATTGGTATAAGTGCAACAAGTGTTTTTGTCTCTGTGCAAACTTCTCCTTGTTCAGCCAGAATATAATCTAAAGCAACCCTATTGTCCAATAATACCCGGGCCAAGGAATTTATTTCAAATCATTCCTAGCCAAGGTAGAAATATGCTCAGTAATAAAGTATATCCGTCATCTAGTTGGTATCTAGTAGGTAATTACTGGGTTCAAAGATTCCTCTCCCTGGTCTGGGAAAACAAAACCAAAACAAGACAGCTTTGAATTGCTGGTCCATTGCTTACTTTAAAAGATGTCATGGATGGAAATGGGGGTACCAAGACTCCCTAAGAAATAAGCACCCCTATTTTCCAGCTAAATAGGGATGAGTCTATGAGACTTCATGGTGTCTCCCACATAAACAAATATCCAGGGGGTGCACAGAGGACTCCCAAGAGGTTTCATAAATTGAGTTGAGAATCTCGAGGGATGGCTGCCAGAGCAGATTGGAGCCATGGATCTGTTTTTGTCAGTTTTCAAACTTTAGGGTCCTGGGTCCATTTGGAAGGGCCCAGGAATTTTAGCTTGGGAGTTTATTCTTACACAGTTACAGGACAATATGGAAAGCATCGGGATCTTGATGTTTTGCTCTAATTAAAGTTTGCTTGACAAAGAGGAGTGGTTTGATTTGTGCCCCAGCACATATCTGGTCCAAATAGTTCCAAGAAGATATTGGAATCCATGGAAATGGCCTTCAGTCGTGCTCAGCAAAAAGATTAGGCTAGTTAGTTTGTAAACCATGGAGCTATTTACTGGGTGGCTACAATGAACAAACTTAGGGTACCAGTGGACCCTCCTTTGGTCATAAGAAGGAGTCAAGGGAAAAACAAAGGTCTTTTTCCATCTGGGCAATCCAAATACTGGAGGAAATAAAAAATTCAGAATTCAGTCCAGATCATAAAGAGTCAAAAAAGATGAACAGGGTTAGAATCTACTAACAGGTGTACTACAGTTTGTGTTTTTTTAAACCATAATTTTCTCCCTAGTCCCTCATTTTTATCAAAGATTTTTATGATGAGACTAATTCATTTGTGATATGAGTTTAGCCTCTGCCCTGATTATTTACATAAAGTGCAGTAAAAATAATAATTTGTTATATATTTATTCTATATAACTTAAAACATAATTTAAGTTGGCTTTGCTGGGACTTTTATAAGGAATCTCAGTTTAGACTCTCAAAAGCCTCTAAAGGCTTAGGAAGCCAAGCCAAGAATTTGACTCACTCTCTGATTACCTGGGCGCATTAGGTGTATTCCTCTTTTTTGAGGTTCCCAAAATATCGAGCTTCCTGGGCTTGTCAGAAAGTGACATTCTTTACTTATGCAAGGCCAAGAACCCTGTAATCATGTAGACAAGGGATCAGGTGAGTCTTTTCAAGAGGCTTTTATTGGCACCGTCAACCTCAATTTCCTAAAGCAGTCTCATCATATGAGGAAATATGACATTCCAGTCAATGCCTTGGTAAACCAATGTCTCCAGTTTTATCCTGTTACAAAGGAAAACAGATTCTTATTGAACTTACACAAATAACTATATAGCCAAAAAACAAGAATACTCACGGATATGTTCAAAATCCTGGGAGGATCAAGTAGAGAGAAAAGTAAATGTTTCAGTTTTGCTCATAAAAGTATACTTCACTAAATACCCCGAAAGAGAATTCAAAAAGTCTTAAAATCCGAAAACCAAAATATGAAAAAAATTAGCAATGTTTTAAACAAAGAAGTAAAAGAGGGCCGGCCTGGTGGCGCACTGGAGAGTGCGCCGCTTAGCGCTCCCGCTGAGGGTTCGGATCCCATGTGGAGACTGGTTCCCGCTCACTGGCTGAGCGCGGTGCGGGCGCAACACCGAGGGTTGCGATCCCGTTACTGGTCAGTAAAAAAGAAAAAAAAAAAAAAAAAAAAAAAAAAAAAAAAAAAAAAAAAAAAAAA